CATACAGAAACTGTCTGAACACATTGTAAACCATTTCCCTGCTCAGAATGAAGTTCCTTAGAGGACCCTGTTGTTCTTCAGGCATGAGAAATTTCAGCTGGTAGTCAGCTATGACTGATCCGTTCCTGTGAGAGAGTTATACAGAAACACGCAAGCTTAGCACATTACTGTTAAACAAACAAATGACAGGACGTATACATGCTTTGTTTTCATGCGAGGGTGAGGTGTATTTACCTAAAAGCGTATATCTCCGCTCCTGAGAAGTACCGTCCCAGAGCAGGGGAGGCTCGGTAGAGGTCAGCAAGCTGGGTGGGGCAGGATGAGGCATGCAGAAACAAGCAATGGGTGTGAAATGTTCCTGGTTGATACTGACCTACTTCACATTAGCTTTTCTCCATTCTACTGCTAAAAGCTTTTGATTTGAATCCTCTGTAAGAGATTAATCCAGCCACAGAGGGTTTAAAGCTCCTGACAACAGGTATTACTGTCTCAGTGAGCAGAAAAGTTTTACTCTGGAAGTGAAGAATTTACTATCAGTTGTGGACCAGAAAGGAAGAATTACTGAATACACGTTAATCTATAATATTCTTATATGTGCTTATATATATACTGAGTTGCAAATTCAACTAAAAAAAGATTAATTGATCAAGTAAATCATTTGAAAAAAAAAAATGAGGTTGTGAATGGGGCAAACCTTTTGTTGAAGGTCAGCAGCGAGTGTTTGACTCTCGTTGAAAGACATAGTGAAAAGTTCTTCTTTGAAGACCTGGTTGGGCAGCTGGAAACTCCCATTAAAATACAAAGGGGACTTAAACAATGTTGGGTCGAATTTCTCATCCACATCCTCATGGATAACTGTTAAAAAAGGAAGTTGTATTGTTTTATTCTTCAGGCTCATTCCACAAAGTGTTGACGTCGCATCTGCAGCATTTCTTAGTAATTTCCTCTTTGGCATATGAACAATCACCTTTCTGATAACAAACGTTCAGGGAAAGTTAAAATGTTTACCTGACTTATATTCTGTGTGTGCATGTTCTATTCAATATATAAAGCATCATTTAAAACTGTGGAATCTCAAACACATAACCTTACCTGAGCATATCAGCAGAGAAGATATAATTACAGCAAAGATGAGGAGAAAGATGAAGATGATGACCATCCATAGTCTGACTTTCTGACAGAAGATGACCTTATTCAGCTCGTCCTTTATTCTTCTAATCTAAAAACAAAACACATTTTGCTTTTTCAAGATGTGCATAGAGTTTATCAGGGTCATATACTCCAGATATATGTTTACATTTTGTGCAGAATATTAGTTTTATTACGTCATGTAACTAAAGAAAATAATGTCAACAGAGAATGAAAAAAACACTCAAGTTGAAAAAAGCTATAGCTTGCAAAACAAGAAATATATTGTGGGTTAAAAGGTTAGGCAATGACAATTTGTATAGCTGCACAAATGGAAGAACAGGAAATGAACTCATTGAGATATCTCATATTAACAGGAGAGTTACACTTCCTTTATTCCAAGAACAGGATGGATCACCAAAGAAACTGTTTTTTTTTTTAAATAAAATAAAGTCATCTCACCTCTCCAGAAGCATTTCCCGGATTCCTTTGAGATTCTGAATCATCGCCGGAAGTTATAACCTCCCCATTACAACCCTGCAAAAACAAAACACAAACAGTGGGGCGCTTTCCTCATGCACTACAATAACAGGATAAATATCTTGGGACAATGTGCTTATTTGTTCACTTCTAAGAGAGCTGAAAGACACTCCCTAGGTGTTGCCACATAGAGGATACTTTCACTTTTTCTTTCTCGCAAAATGTAGAAAAACGTTTTGTTTTTTTTAAATAAAAAGCCTTCATACCTCTTCTACAGCATGTCCCATGTTCCCTTGAGGCTCTGCTGCATGATCAGAGGGTCTCCTCCCACCATTACAGCCGTCGACCTGATCAAAACACACAAGAAGAAAGTATTTCTGTGACTTTCCTCAGGCACCCTACAATTAATAGATAATTGTCTTGACAGTTTGTCCTTTATTTGTTTGTACTTTCAAGAGTGCTGAAAGAAAGCCAGATGTTGACACCAAGACCATAACTCTTTGTTTTGCCTTAAAATAACTAAAAGGAATTATTATTCACGATCTCTCGACAAGACAGATAACCAAAACTAAATACAAGACACACAAGAACATGACATTGGTGGAAGCTCACCTGTACAGAAAGCAACACATCTGTTTCTTTGGCATCCACAGCCACACTCTCTCCATTACCGGATGTCACCTAGGAAAAAGTAAATGTTGGAGAGGATTACCACAAATTTCAATAAAGCCTGTGTAAAATGATAAACTGTGTTACATGGATCTAACACCTGAGATTATTTTCTCTATTTACACATCAAGCTCTTGTTCGTTGTCTCGACTGATCGATAAGATGTGTCAAGAAAACGGAATCGATTATCAAATGTATACACCCTGCTTGTTTCATCCCACCAACAACTACAACGCCAGAGACACACTCCATGGTTCAGCATCAAAAACCAGGCAGAGGTCATCCTTACGATGGCCCAAAATAGTGAGTATCAACAAATGGTGTCTAAGAATTTTTCAAACAATAAATCTTATTGACGTTAATCACAATAAAATTTGCAATTGGACATCTTAGATTATTTGACTGATGTTTACACCTTCATATAATCTGTAAAATCAGCAAGTAAATAGACATTATAAACACTGATATAGAAAAGTAGCTTCTGGTTAAAACCACAATTATTAATATTCTAATTAACCTACAGAGGAAATAATTATCAAATAGGCCAATTATTGATTTTATTATGATTTTTATTTTATAGGTAAAGGTAAATAAGGATCAAATTACATTTAAAACATGGACTCACCCGGTCAGTTGACCCGTTCACATGTGCAGCTCCATTTTCCCCATTCGTCCGAATATTCTGCATTTTAATGTCCATGCTGGGATACCTCCAAATCCAAGTCGAGCCTATATTTTTTCAACCTCCAAACCCGGAAGTAGGCTACCTACTGACTTTACGTTTTAATATCTAAACCGCTCTGTCCGCATGGGACGCGGGTCAAAAAGGTAACGAATCCAAAACAGGTCACTCGGCGACTTCACATTGTTGCACCTGACAGCTCCTTGAATTGTGTGTGTTTCTTTTTTTTTTTAAGACGAGGACATGTTGCTTCCCTGACTCGCTTGATCCTGACCCCCGAGGCAGACAGGTAAATTCCTTGAAGTTTCGGTGCTCTGACGTCGTAAGGCGTTGTCAAGTACAGACTAAAGGGAAGGAGACTGAGCATGACACAAGTCTGCTTCTCCTGAGCGTGACGTTACTAACAGTTCAATCCTGACTGTGAACATTAATAAAGTCATATGCATGGTAAACTGCGTGTTGACACTCAACATGTCTTACTGCAGGTATCGGGGTTTTTCTATTCTCAAGTTAAGTTTGCGCAGGTGTTTGCCTCGAGGATTTTATGTATTTGCTTAACCAAATAAGGACATCCGTAATAGATCAAGTGGCCCTTTTTGAGTTGACCTTCATTGTGTTTGTCAAATTTAAGGTCTGCTTCAGAAAAGATGCCTTGTAAACTCACGCTTTATTTTATTTATTTTTTTTTACATTAATTGGATGCAGCTTTAAAAAACTACCATAGGATAGCTGTTAATTACATAAAACATGAGCGTTTTAAAAACGAAGTTAGATTTTTACTGAAAGCATATTTACGATGCTTATCTCTGACAATGAGACACACTTCTTTTACTTCTCTTTGTTTAAAAATAAATATATAAAATTAACTGTGGACTAGATAGGCATATTTTTAATAGCGACTTCTGAATTACTTAAGTGTAATTCTTATTATTTAAGTGTAAATTAACAATTTCAGGGAAAAGATAATCGGCTTTTTTGTAATAAATGCAGTTATACATGTTACCAGCAGGGGTCGACAAAGGCCACAACAAGTGAAAACCTTTGTAGAGAACATGTGAAATAGGCCTGTTGTTAATTTCTTATATTAATTGTATTTTTCATAGTAGTAATGACAGTTTCCCTTTTACATCTTTTAATATGTTTAATACAATTTCCTCTGGGTTTATTTTGAAAAGCTGATTATAAAGGCTGTACATGCACGCAGGGTTTTCAGGCGTTGACATTTGATCTCTGCTGAAATAAAGGCAGTCATGGGAAAAAATTATTAAGGAATTATCAAGCTGGTAATGAAGTTCACTTGAAAGGGGAGTTTTTCTCTTTCCCTATCCACATTTCAATTAATGTAGTTTTGTATTAGAATATTTTTGGAAACAATTATTATCTCAAACACAGTTAATCATCAAACAACCTTTGCCTACTTAAATATAGATGTAACAACTCAAACTGTCTGGTGAGGTGTATGATATCCCCTATGTTAATACGATTTATAGAAAAAATATATAAACCACTTAGGTCTTTAGGATTTAGTGAATATGTCAATGTAAGTCTTGCTTGTAAACTTAAAGATGAAATTGACATATTCATTATAATATATTTTATTAATTCAAGATAAACGTCCAATGTTAAAATTCAAAAAGAAGGTTTTTGTTTTATTTGATTTTTTGGTCATTTGATTGAAAGCTGCAGGTATAGCATTAATCCTGATCTTCCATTTTCATGATCATTGGTGTGTATATTTACTGGGCTCAGAGGTAGTTTTTGCACTACACAGTTAAATAGAATAAAACACCACAACAGAAGAGTTGAACAGTACTTGTTATCTCCACTATGTGGTGCAAGAGGACACACACAAACCACACTACGCATGCATTATGTCATCATCAAGTGTTGACTACACAGTTGTTGGTGCAATGACTTTGATTTAAGCTTCTTTGAGGAGTTTTAATCTTATTTGATGACCTTAATAGCAGGTAAAGTCAACAACTTGTTTATTTGTAAAACATGGAAATTCAACGTTTCGGTCACAGACTTCAACCAGATATCAAGGTTTCAACACCATTTTATTTACATTCATAAAAACAATATAATATCTACATTTTTCAGCTCTTCAGGTGCCTTTTGAAAGTTTTGTGCTCCTTTCTGAGCTCATTGGGACACTCAAAAATGCACTTCATTCAGACAAAGGATGAAGAATAATAATCGTTATGATCTAATAGCAAACGGCCACTGCTAGGGCCCTGTGAAAACAGATCTGTTTCAAGAAGCTGTCGATGGCAGCGGTATCTACTGCATATAGCCAGAAACAGTAAAACCTACCGTTTTGGCTTCATTGATTGAAGACTGTAGATCATGAAGCATTGACCTTAGCAAACAATTATCTTAGGAGAGAAACACAGCTCACAGTAATCAAACAGGCCTTTCAGATTAAATATATTCCCTGATATTATCATTTTGACTCATGTCAATGTTTCAGCCAGAATTTAAACCACATAAAAAAGTAAGTAAACTTGTGTCTTAATGAGGCTGTTTATTTTCTGGCCACAAAACAGTCGCTCTATACTTTAAACATTTTGTGGTATACAAAAAAGCCAAGCAGCGTAGAACATGACAACATAAACATGGTCATCAAATACCCCCCCCACCCAAAAAAGGATTTTAAAAAAACGTGGACATTAAGTTATCGTGATCTTTGGTGTCACACTCTTTTGTACGTGTTAATTTGTAAGGTCAGACAATACTTTTCTGACATGGAAGTGCACTCTCAAAAAGTCTTTGACGTTTGCAAATCACAGCAGAGAGAAAGAAAGAAAATTGTTTTCTTAACAAGAAAAGGAGTGCTGTCATTCAGACAGCCTGACAGATATCCATACAGTATGAACTGTAATGCTTATTTTCAGGTGCAGAGAACAGCTGCTTCTCGTGGCCCTCCAGTGTTTATAGACCTGTTCCACTGACGGCAGAAAGAGGGCAACAGTAGAACTTAAAACAAAGCCAGTACCAAGACCTTTTCAAAAGTTTTCTGAATAACATTTTTCATAGAGTGATCATTGTCAACGAACTGAATGACTTTCTACATGTATTTCTTTTGTTGATAAAGGCTCACATCTCACATCCCATCACTTGCTTCTTGGGTTCCTCCTCCATTTCCTCCTGGCCAAATTCTGCCATCACAGTGCCCTCTATCTGCTCGGCGGTGTAAGGCTCCGATGGCTGCGCTCCCTCCTCAGAAGTCCCAGAGATCTGTTCAGTTTTGTGCCCCTCCCCCAGCTCTTCACTGTCGATGGGGTCACTCTTTACTACCTCCTCCTCCACTTTTTCACAGTCTCTGTCTTCTTCAGCTTCTATTAGACTGGCTGGCTGCCTGTGTTTGTCTTCCTCTGCTTGGCTGTTGAAAACCTGGTCTTGGTCCTCCCCATTTTCTTTAGGGCTGTTCAGTTCACATGGGGAGAGAGCACTTCCGAGGACTCCCGCCTCCTCTCCAGCTGACCTCCTGTGCTGCCTCGTGGGTGGACGTCTCTTGAATGATAGTCGTGCACGAGTCTGTGAGGAAACAAAGAGTGAGATTCAAAAGGACATTTTGAGGATATTTTATCACAAAGAATTTGAAAAGAATGTATTTTCAACATCTAACTGTACATCTCAAGAAAAGGTTTCTAGTACCTGCCCTAGTCTAATCAGCATATGGATGAGAGCAGTGCACAAATGTTAACTAGGGACTCTTAACTAGGTTAAGGGGATTACGCTTTCAATCCCTATTGCAGCAGCATCCATGCGCTACAGGGGCATCTTGCTACAGCTTATCTGAGGCCTGCTTAAAGAGAAGACTCAGGACACCGACTGAGAAACGCGTCACTGAGGATAGTGCCATGTGTCCGGCTGTTACGTCACTGCTCACTTCACAAATAGCGTGGGAAACACTGGGTGGCCCTTTAAGTGACGACAGCCCATACTTGTTGTTTTGTGCTTCAGAGTTTGTGCAATAATGCAATCATGAAGTGATGTACTAAAACACAAATGATCTATGATAAAAGTAAACACTGAAATAATTAAACATAGAGCACATTGTTTTCAAACTGAAAGCTGACACCAAAGGAGATGTGGTGACAAATAGGTCTAATGGTTCATAAAGACTCTCGAGTCCATATGTTTACCTTGTTAAAGCTGGGCAGCGGGTTGCCCTCAGGAGGGTTGCTGAAGCCGACAGGATCCTCCTCTTCGCTGGACTGATGTGAGGGCCTCAGGGTGGGGCTCAGCGGGCAACAGGATATGGTAGGGGACGACGTTGCAGGTTGAGGCTTCACGTCAGGACTTTTGGGTGAAGGCAGCAGAGAAGTGGGTGACAGAGCGAGATTTGCCTGTTGGGGGGGGGGAAGGAAGATCCTGAAGCCTGGACATTGTAATCTCTTAAAGACATTCTGTTCATATAAGATCTGTAAACCAATGCCCCACATTTACTAAGAGAAAATACGACACAGTTTAATATCTGACTTTTTTAGGAAACATAGCCAGAGAAGGAAAGATTTAACATTTCAATGCTACAATAATCATTTGTAAGTCATTTTAAACAAAATATAGATTATGTTAAAACTACAAACTCATACTATGTCAAGGTAAGTACCAAGTAAATGTTTGAACTGTGTTCCTGTAAATACCACGATAGGCACTGCGCAGGTAAACATACTTTGCATCTCCCTGTTTTGAAAACACACTGCTAGAGGAACGTCCTCACATTCCCCAAAACAAAACCTTTACATCCTTAACAAGGCTTGGGGTTATTCCTACACATTGGTCTCTGCTCTACTTCTCTTTTAAACTTGAACTGACTGTTTTTTTTTAAGAAAGAGTCGATGGAATAAGACTTTTTACTTTTGAGGAACCTCAAAACTCTGCCCTGGTTTTCCTCCATATGAAAGACACCTAAAATATTTAGTCTGATACCTACAGCACATTAAAGTAGATTATAGTCCCTCAACTCCTGGTGGAAGTTCATAGGAAAGAACCCTACCTGCACAGGTGAGAAGAGAAAGAGAGAGAAGCGGCAGCCCTTTTGTCCCATTGCTGCCCACCGTGTGAAATGCTAACTAAAGGTACGATGGTGGCGAGTTAGAGACTCACCAGAGGCTGAGTGGCCCTTGATCCTATTAGACCATTAATCTGAGCCAATTGTGGCATAAGGACCAGGCCTGCCTCTTCCTCTCAGCATGCAAGCAGCTCAAGCACCAGTATCACATGAACAGTAGGGGGCAGTAAAGCTTTAAACACAGTCAGACGATACACTCCTGATGACTTCTGAATGTACACAACAACCTACATTATCTGTGGTAGGGCTAGCATTTGTCCTGTTTCCCATTTCCTTCAAAAAATATTCAGATAAGGCAGGTGCATTTACCTGAAGTTTCTCAATGATGGCAGAGTTCTTCATCTTTATTTTAAAGGGATTTGGGGTAACAATAGTTTTCTGCAAGAGAACAGAGCAAAGTTAATGAGTAGAAAATTCCCAAAGTTATCACAATACCCCTTTGAAAGACAGAAAACTATTGCTTTATATCGACACTTTACAAAATGAAGTATCATTGTACATTACCAGGAGATAAATGTGCATGGCGTGTTTATAATCACAAAGTCTATTTGAGAGGGGTTGAATAAGGGGTTCATTTTTATTAACAATGTCTTACGCATTGTTCATTGTATTAGCCACATACAAACATATTTGTGATGCTTGTTTTTTTTCTAATTCACTGGAAGGAAAACAGAATGAATATCACATCTTTTCTCAGTTTGAGTTTAAGGCTTTTTTTTTTCTTTTTTTTTACAGTACACCAACTTTCGTGTGGAAATCCAACAAGATCAATATGTAGCACATGGTTAAGTACAGAAAGAAAAAACACTTACGTCTGATTCCTCACAGTCTTCTCTTGGATTGTGCAACTTTAGGGAACAAGGAGGTCTTCTTCGAAACTAAAACAAAACAACATTGAGGAAAAAATGTGAATAAAACATGGAATCACACGCAGTCTGCACAGACTGTGGAGTACTGTTCTTCTGGGAAACTAATAATACTTAGACAAAGTACCTCATCATTTGAGGTGGGCATTGGTAAAATATGGCCTTTGAATCTTCCAGCCAGCTCAGCCACAGATGGCTTGGATGGAGAATCCTTCTGGAAAAAGAGAGACCTTCAGTCAAACAACTGGAAAATACTTTAAATTAACGACAGTCGTGGTATGCTGTTTGTCACATTGAAAACAGCATACTGAACTGATTAATACAGTATTTAAAATATAGAAGTCCAACAGGTATAAACTTTTAATTTGAAGGAATCCTTGTGTGACCTTGCAATTCTCACTTCCTTCATACAAACTGCTCAATCAATCCATGTACAGTGGTACTAAAGGAAAATACAGCCTGAGGTCTGAGGCCTCAGCTCACGTCAAATGGGAGGCACAAAAACTGTACATTGATACTTTCGGTGGGGACTTGCTGAACAAAGACAGCTAAAATAACAATACGTAATCATTGGGCATCGCTTGTGCATGGAGGCATTTCACAGCTTAACAAGGAGTTGTTCTACAATAAAGAACATGTTTCACTTCCCTCTTCTCAGCAGGAAATTGCAGATGGGTTAAGAAACACGTCAGGAAAGGATAAGAAGCATACATACAAGCAACATAAAAAATGAATCAACCAGTGTGCCGGTTCAACGCAGTCCTTGGAGGAACTCATCTCTGCTTATTGAGTGTTTTGTGGAACAGGAAATGAGCCCTGCTCTCTCCACAGCTGTTTAACATCACGCTGCAGCCTGTGACATGAGGGACCTGTCCTTGCAGCCCCACACTGTTATCACTTCTTGGCCCCTCTTCTTTCAGTCTCTCCCACTATTCCCAGGCTGATTGCTACACTTCCCTCCTCAGCGGTACTCTTTCATGACCATTAACTCTCTTCACATATCTGTGGCCTAAGAGATAAGTTGGCTAATGGCTGCTGGCTGGAATGTGCATGAACGAACGTCTTCAAGACAACACTCTGGTGTTACCCGGTTTTCAGGTTCTTGTTATTTTACTCCAAATAATTTGGACTTTCACTGGGGTAAGTTATTTGTTGTGCAAGGAGTGTACAGATTCTAATGTGTTGCATTGTACATTCACAGCTGGTGGTGCTCCTCCCCGTCTCTTTCTAGTTCTCATGTTAAATCTAATTTCCATCCTACTTTTATGACCTCTAAAAAGCTCCTGCCTCTCCTCACAGCTGCCAGTTCTGTCACATTTTCTGGGTGTGCACTCTCAGTTCCCCTCCCTGTCTGCACTGTTTGAGCTGTAACCCATGGAAACACGGATCCTACAAGCTTCACAGATATACACATTCCACATCACACTTTATTTTCTTTTTTCCCTTTGTTCTCATATGACCTCACCACCTTGCTCCCTCCACCCAAAAGTATTACAGCATCAGCTTGCCCCACAGTATCTCCAGTAACACAGCTTTGTGTCCAAACCCTTTTCCTGAGTTCTCTTTTCTCATCCATGATAGATAGTAATCATCAGGGACCACCCACTCTCCATACCATTATTTTGTAACGGCCATTTGTTTAACACTTTCCTGTCCTTCAATAACAATTGCCTCCTTCTGAGCACAAACTCACAACAGCACAGGCAAAGGAAGTTGGGGCTTTGTTCACTTGTTATTGGCTGCTCAGATGTTTTGGGTTAAAAAATAAAACAAAGTCAAGGCTTCGTGTTTTCTATTGTCCAGCTTTATACTTTTACGACACACAAGTGGACTGTCTACCGGATTCCCTAAAATATACAAAGAGTTACTTTTTTTTAAGCTTGTGGTTCAATAGTTTGAAAGTGCATTGTTGGAGTAAAAACATCTGTTTGCAACACTTTCATCAACTATCATTTAGAAAATGTTCTTCCAGATTCAGTAATATTACTCCATGCACCTTATCACTGCGAGCCCTCATCTTGTTGTATGAGCTTCTTTAGGTTGAATTAAAAAAAATGTCAGAATCAATGCAAACAAATCCCTGATTTCAATATTCATGAAGTATTTGAGGCAATAGATGATTTATTTGTTATGATTTATCTGCCATGGGAACTCTTTACAGAGCTAATGTAAGCTTCCTCATGCATGACATATATTATATTAAGGGTGGTTATCTACAGAGACCTTTATTTAATAGTTTTGCCTGTTCTTCTTTGTTTAAGTAAATGCAAAAATGTATTTTCCTCCAAGTTAAACTCAAATGATTTCCCTTACTGTTCCACTGAAAAAACATGAGAGGCATTCATTGAGCCATAAAAGGCCTTCACTCAGTTATCAGTTCTGTGCATAGTTAACTCAGCTGGGACCCCACGCTCTGTGGAAGAGTGGGAAACTTTGGTTCACTGCAGGAGAGAGGAGGGAAAACTCTATTTCTGGGGCTCCAGGCCTGGGAAAAATCCCCAGAGCTGCATGAGCAGCCGGGATCACAGCTTTGCTCTGTAACCCCTCAGCTCCTCAGAGAGAGTGTCCCTGGAAATACTGGACCACATCTTAAACATACTGTAATCTCACATACAGTGTAATCTAGCATGTCTGAACAAGGAAACCATTTTAAAAAAAAAAAGCATCTTAAAGCAGTGCCTTACCCATGTGACTAACTATTTTTTTCTCCCAAAACAGGCCTGGGTTGATTATAAAAAGAAGTTAGCTATTTCTGAACTCAGACTTCCCTGGAAATAAGATCCTCTAGATGTTGTTTTTTTTTTTTTACAAGTATGAGTGGTAGTCAATAGGAGAAATGCATTTCATAAATAAATAATTTTCCCCTTTAGGGTAAACATGGTGTGGTAAATTACACCAATCTGACAAACTATTTGTCTTATGTGCCTTCTGTGCAGTCAATATTGGCCTGACTCATTGTGCCAAAGACTCAAGAGACCTCACAAGACCTCTGAAGGTGTTTTGTGGTATCTGGCACCAAGACGTGAGCAGTAGATCCTTTAAGTTGCAAGGTGGGGCACTTGTTGTTCCAGCAAATCCCACAAGTGCTCGGTCAGAATCAGATCTGTGTGATTTGGAGTCCAAGTCAACACCTTGAATTCATCATGCTCCTCAATCCATTCCTCAACTTTTTTCTTGGAAAACTGCAACTGCATTATTCTGCTGATAACAGCCGTGTGGTGTGTAGTTTGACGTCTTACTTAAAAATCAAAATGAACCTTTTCAGCATTTTGCACCACAGAGGCTCTTAATAATCTTACAACACAGACAAGCCTCCCAAACAATGAGCACAAATCAATTTAACACCCACATATCTGTCCCTGATGCAAAAGTTGTTTTTCTTGGACCTCTGTTGGTGGGTAACCACTCCATCCTGGAAATTACCCCCAAGAACCTTGCGTTCCAGTGATCCAGCTTTCACTATTTGGTTTGCAAAATTGCTCAATGTCCTCCTCTCACTCAACACAAGAAAATTAAAACTGTAAACCCTGACATTCATACAGTTCTGGTATCATAAATTAAACGGTAGCAGAGAGCAGTGCTTTGTTCGTGCCTATGCTACTTTAACAATACTACTATAATTATTACTTACATTAGACGTGTCTTTAAATACCTGGCACGACATGGTACTTTATACCATTTGCCAATTTTGCAACCAAATACAAAATAATACTAACATTTCAATTACATTTTTAACTTCGAAATACATACTTCCTGTCTCTACTGTATATGACAGTTTCAGTTGTAATCAGCTGTTTTGAGCCAGTGTTTTTAAAAAAATAAATAAAGATAAAGACAACATGCGTGGAATACCTCGACAGAAGACTGCATTTTCTGGTGTAAATGTGAAGGAGAGTTGTAGGAAAAGTGTATTTATCTATAGTAAGCTGTGAATGGATGAGCAAAGGTTAATCCTAACCAGCGTCTTAATTTCCAGTTTCCAGGCTATGGATGGAAACACGAGGTTTACTGTATGACCAGCAGATGTAGAGAGAGAACACAGAGATAAAGAGATCACACAAAGCCTGCTATTGTATGTTCCTGTGGTTCCTATTTCCAGAGGCAGGGGAGAAGAAGCACATGATATCAGTCTTAGTAAATTCAGCATATCTGCCTGACATAACAGTGGTGGTCAGGGAGAAACAGGCCATGTAATCTACCACAGAACTGATGAAGATGAAGTCTGGTTCAGGATCTTTAACCCCTCTCTGGGAATAGCTGTGCTTTAAACTCTCAATCTTCATAAGCTCTCACTGGTGAGCTCCTCACAGGAGAGATCTTTGATGAATAAAATACACTGAAGCACAGCTGTTCAGGCAGATCGTGTTTAAAAATCTTGCCAAGTGCAACGGTTTCAGTTTAAGTCCGCAGACTTTGTTTTCTTAAGTCAGCATGTTCTGTGACGGGAAAACCACCTCGGCAAATGCTCACTTCTGCCTATTCTTGTTAAATGGTACGAGAGCAGACAGGCACCTTATTCCTAGATGTCGTTCCAGGAAAATATGATGTAAATTTGGACCGAACCTCATCTGAATATCCACTTTTTTCCGATGCCTTCACTAGCACTGTGTTTGTGTGTTTTTGTATGTGACGTGTACATGTCACAAGAAGGGCCCTAAATCAGAGCTATGAGGTAAATAGACTCACTCATATAGAAGTCATTGCTGCCCTGCATCAAGGGGCAATGACAAAGTGCTGCAGACACAGGCAATACAAAGGGGAAACGTGGGGGAAGGGAGGGAGGGGACCTGAGAACAGAAAACTGCTCATTCAGATACATTTCCAAGAACTACAACAAGCCGGAAATGTGTCTTGTTCATGTGGTGAAAGATATACAAATCAGAAGCCCCCATGAGGCTCTAGATACAAGCTATAAAATCACATTTTGATGGAACCATTATAGAGATATGTGAACAGATGACAAGGCCAGGCATGTTAACAGAATGCACCCAGATATTTCAATTTGATGACCACGTTGGACTGCTTAGGCTAGATCTTAAATGTTGTGCAACATGAACTAGAGCAACAGAGGGTGAATGGTGAGTAAAGAAGATATCAAAAAATGTAAACATCTCAAAGCAGACAGCACTTCTTCCAAACATTTGAGGGAAAGTAAGACCGCTTTGATGCGAGCATCTGCTGGGGATTTTACGTGGTGTTCTGGTATTCTCATCC